CTACCTCAAGAACCCGGACCCCCGGCTGCGCGCCAAGGCTGCGGAGGTGGTCCACACGGTGGTGCAGAACAACCCGCAGAGCCAGCAGAACGTGATGGACTGCAAGGGGATGGAAACGCTCATGCACAACGCCGCGCAAGACGAAGACCCAACCTCGAGGGCCAAGGCTCTGGGGGCAGTCGGAGGTGAGGCGGAAGTTTCGAGCACGGAATCTGTTTCATCGATGATGATTCCTCGTTATCCTTCTGTCGAATCTGCTCGACAGATACTGGGGGTACTAAGCTAAGCTCAGAAGTCCTGGTAGTGCAACGCTTCGGAAGGAGCTTCGTATCAGGGTGAGTTAGTAACGCTAGAACTTTTCACGACGTTCTTAACGGGTTTTTGAGTTTGTGACGAGGTTTTCGTGGCTCGATTGACACCGTAACATCCCACTGTTAAGGGACTTCTGCTCTCATATGTGTGACAAATAGCAAATGCAGGGGTGTTGGAGACTTGTTTAGCGCTAATTGAGAGAACGTTCACCCAACAGTACTTTCTCGCAGTCCAGATACGCAGTGATTGCTCGGGCTTTGCCTCCTTCTGCCTGCTTATCGAACCCGTCCGCATACGTCCTCCTATCTGCGTATGCGTTCCCGTTGACCCACACGTTACTGCTTACGTAGCCCGTTCCGCAAGGAACGTGTTGGCGCGACGGTATTGCCCACCTGCGTATGCAACTGCGTCCACGTACCCCTTCTTGTCTGCTTATCCGTTTCCGTCCGCTTATCCGTTCCACCCCTTCATGCAGCCTGCATCCGCAAGAAAACGCGCAAACTGGGCGTTTGTGCGCACCTGCTTATGCGGTTCTGTCTCCGTACCCCTTCCTGTCTGCTATCCATTACCGTCCGCTTATACATGCCGTCCGCTTATCCATTCCCGTCCGCTTGTGCCTTTCCGTCCTCGTATGCAGCCCTGATCCGCAATAACCGCGCGGGCCTGGCCGCCTTCCGGCACGGCGACGGCTACGCCGCCCTCCGCGACGCGCTCTCCTCGGACGACCCGAAACTCCAGCGCAAGGCGTTACACCTGCTTCGGTCCATCCTGTCCGAAACCCCGGGCGCGTCCGAAGCCACTGGACAGCCGGGGCTGATTTGGACGCTGGCCTCGCTCGTAAGGAGCCCGGATTTGGACGTCCGGGAGACGGCGCTCGGGGCGCTGAACGACGTGGCGGGGCGGAGCGAGGAGGATGCGAAGCACGTGGCGGGAGAGGCGGGGCTGAAGGATGCTCTGACAGACAGGTGGGCATTGGGGCTTAATGAGCATTTGAGATTTCATCCAATATCTGACGCCTTTGGTATCCAAGCTCGACGCTTCATGCAATCGATAAGGCGGTGGATGATAACGTGGACGTCATGCTGATTCCCGTTAATTCTTTGGAAGCGATTTTTGTTTTCCGTTTGACGAGTGAGATCGTCCTGTTGGCCAGTAGCACCTGCCATTACCAAACCGACGGTGAGCAAGAGTCTCCCCAAGCCGACCATTTGTTCCACACCTTTTAGAACCAAACGGCGCTTGTAAGTGTTCCTCTTCTTGCATCGCAGGATCGACGAGCTGACGAAACTGAGGGGCGACGACTTAGCGGCCGTTCACGACGAGCTTCAATCCATCGGGGACCTGTGGAACACGAGCGGATTCGGCGACCAAGGCCCGCGCCAAAAGGTGCTCGAAGCGCTGGCGACGCTCCCGCCATTACACACCGGCGTGGCCAGCGGAGAAAGGGAGAGCAAGCCGTATACCGTGACACATGCCACGAAGGAGACGAAAGAGGACGAGAAAAAGCCGCCGCTGCTGCTCGGCGCGCCTCCGCGCAGCGATCAGTAGACTAATCGAACGGGTGGAAAAGAGAGAATGTAGATTTCGAATCTTTTTGACCGATCATGAGGTCGAGAGATTTTCTGACACAGAAGTAGGTGGTTAAATCAGGCCGACCATAAGCCGGGTGCCATAGTCAAGAACTGCCTTGGGCCTCTTGCAGCAGAATGGCGAAATGGGTGGGGGTAAATATGGGCAGAGGGATCCACGGCTCAAGTCATTGTCCCAGCCTTGGCAAATTGCTTGCAAAAAGAAGTTACTCAACTGGCTTCTGATCCTGCGCTCATGTTCACTGGCTCCTTGTGTTATTATATGCAATCTCTGTCAAACTTTGTCATGGCAGCGCATTGAGTGCTTTAAATCAAAGCTGCCTAGGAAACATACCGTATGCAACTTAATATAGCTCAGGCTTGCGCGTCGAATATGCAGCTAACAGTGGTCTTGGCTGCAATTCCATGTACTATAAGGGCATGCATGCGCGCGATATTCAGCATAATGCAGGATTTCAGCCAGCGCGTGCAAACTGCACATGCAGGCGGCCGGGCATTGTCTGAAACTTCCGGATTCTTAGTACATACTCAGGATGCATATAAGTTGATCGAGCCTGCAGCCGCCGGATTTGTGTTACTCAAAATTCAACACACATCAATCGCAAATAAACGATTTAAGCTGACTCACAAACGTACGTCACTCTTCAACGTGAGTCCTTAATTATGCACGCTCGTTGGACTAATTCCGCCAGGACATGGGCATAATACCGGCACCGTCGGTGTCAGTATAGAGAGACAAGACATCCTCACATCATGCTGATGACGTCAACGCTGCCGCCCACTGGCCAGCCAACCTGACCGACGGCTGACATCCAATCAACATCGCCGAAATGGAATGGAATGAGATACGAAAGTAGACAACAATAATTGGTGAAGGGACCAACACAACCTCCAGAAAAGGTCCATTCCTACCTCACAAGTAATCTATGTACACGGGCTAATTACTCTTCTGCTTGGCTCGCTTTGACTTCCCCGGTCGTTGTGACTTGCCTCCCCTGCCCCCCCGCTTACCCCTCGTCCCCCGACCTTCTCTAAAGCTCCCCCGATACGCATCCATGTCGCCCGACGACGTTGCATCGTTCTGCTTCTTCAGCTTCTTACTGCCGCCGAATCCGAACTTCTCGTCCCTTGCTTTTCGCTTTTTCGAGGGCGTGTGAAATTGCCCCTTTCCGTCCGTTCCGCCCCTTCCGCCCCGTCCGCCCCTTCCGCCCCGACCAGCAGAAGCCATATCCCGCTTCGGAGCAGGCCCCGGAGCCTCTGCATCTTTGTCTTGTAACGAAACTTGGAACTCGTCGCCGCCTTCGTAATCGTCTTTCTCACTGCAAACGACAAGAAACTAGACTAAGAAACTTGACGCAAGGGTCGTCGCAATCATGTTAACAAAGCGCTTTGTTATATGTCACGCGAAACAAGGGTGTCACGAGCTGCCTGGTCCTGTCTTGGGACTACCAGGAACTTGGGACAAAGGGAGACGAAACGGTACCTGTTTCAAAGATTGAACCACAAGATTGTAACCTTCCGGTCCTTGGTCACAAGGATGAAAAAGGCTGCTCCAAGATTTGTGTCGGCTATCTTTGCGAGGATGAGACCTACTGCCAAGACACACACCCAAGGCCGCACTTCGCAATTTGTCGTAATCCACGTAGTTCCAGCTCAAAATTGCCCCAAGACGGAAAAAAGTGAAGCAACAAAATAGTCCTCTAGTGGGTCATCGCATAACACGGTCTGGGGGACTTCTCGCAAATTGCCAGCAGCGTTTGACGAGACAGCGGCGTTTGACTAGTGAAAGCTGCTTCATCTGATCCTTGAACGACCCACTTCGTCCCTAAGTTCGCGCAAATATCGGTGCTGATTGTAGATGATACCAGCCCAAGTCGAAGTCAAGTCGGAGACACACCACTAATCAAAGCTTTGACTAGTTCCACTGATTCGACTACTATACGGCCAGAACAAACTACGATTCGAACTGTCCTCCTCTGTCAACAGTACACATCCCTTCGCTCATCCCCATGCAACCTAAATCCCTTCCCCCAAAACCAACTTCTCCTTCTGAAAGCCACGCAAAAGGCCCAGCACCACTTACCGCTGCTTCCGTCTCTTCTTGACCGACTCAATGTCGGACTTCTTCGACTGCGTGCAAGTTTGAGCTTATACCTCAGGCCCGAAATCATTCTGCCCCAAATACCCACCGGTTTCCTACAAGCCTGCTCACAGACTACCCAAGCTGCTTCCGCCACTTCTTGTTCGACTTGATGTCCCAGTTCATCGACTGCACGCAGTCTTTGGGTTTGTCTGCAACGCCCGTCTCACCCATTCCCCTCAAGCCACAAAACCAATTGGTTCCTGACAACTCGTCAAAAACCACCGAGCACAACTCACCGCTGCTTCCGCCACTTTTTGACCGACTCGATGTCCCGCTTCTTGGACTGCGCGCGCTCCTTGAGCTTGGCCTGTTGCACCTCCTTGCCGTACTTCTTGTTCTCGCGCTGCTTCCGCCGCGCCTCCGCCTCCTCAATTGCCTTTTGCTCGTGCAACAGCTTGTCTTTTACCTGCAACGAAAATCTTTGTCTTAAGAGTGGCCTCCTGACTTGCGAAGCTAGGAAAAACGACGGTCAATATGATTTCTCACAGACCAGATTCGCAATCCGCCCCCTCAAGCGCCTTCTGATCATGCAACAGCCTTTCCTTCACCTGCAATGTTTCGGTTGATTTGGAGTGGGCGTCAGACTTTAAAAAAGCAAGGCAAATTCAAACGCACATTCAACCCCTTTATTCAACCTTCTTCTCGTACAACAGATTGCCTTTCAACCAACTTTGGCCTCCTACAACGGTTGGTTGCCGGCATCGACGATGCATGTTTTATGCCATTTGAAGCCAAAGAGATTTGACGTACGTGGTTTCTGAAAATCGACGGCGCTGAAAGAATCTAGTTGGCACATCGACGAGGGGTTCTTCACCATCAAACCGGATTGCAACCCGCAGCGCACACGGCCACTTCATGACTCGACTTTCTGAATTCTTCCGTTCTCAGGAGACTTTTGTTTGCATCACTTCAATTTGTACTTTTGGTTCCCGGTGAAGGTGTTTGTGCAATCCTGTGTAAAAAATTCCTAAATGCATTCTTCAGGCACAATCATGGATCGGACGGCAGAGTTCGCCTTGGCTGTGAGGCCGATCCACCCGCAGAACTACATCAAGCTTTTTCCGTCGTTCCGACAACAATCCCAGAAAACATACTATACAACCGTCAATTTGACTAGGCCACCGAAAGTCAATGGGGCGTTCATATCCGCGTGTGTCAGCGATAACAACAGACCTTGCACCAAAGAACAGCAAATGTAGCCAGCGCCTGGAATGCACAGCATGCATAAGAACAACCAGTCTTTACGCTATTCCAATTCTCAACCTGTTTCGGACCCAAAAAAAAAAATTAATTGTCCTACAACACAGTGGTGGCGGGGCAGGCTTCAATGTAGTTTGACTGCTCATTGCTAAGGGTCACGCTGATGATCGGAAGTGACTCGTCACTAGTTGTAGGCAGCAATGGAACCGATCGACAGGTACCATGCTTCATACAATGAATTCGCTTTTCAGGGCAATGTGATTGAAGCAGTGGTGCAACTGAGAAAAGCACAGTGCAAAATCTGGCACACGCCAGGAAGTGAAAGGTGACCATCGTGTGTGGCTCAATAGAAATAACCTTACCATTTCCCCATTTCTCAGGGTTATGTGATGAAAAATGGTGGTGCAGTTGAAAGAAGCACATCGTGCAGTCTGGCGCAAGCACTAAAAACAAACATCAAACAGAAGCAGACTATTGTAGACGCATCATAGAAAGAGCCTTACCTTTTCGTCGATCAGGGTAATGTAATCACAGCAGTGGTGCAACTCGAAAGGCCCTTTCGAGCAATTCGAGCACCCCGGGACGAAGAAACAAAGAAATGCTTGATACATGCTAGAGAAACTGCCTTACCTTGGTGCACTGTTTTTTATTATTCCAGACATGTGATTGAAACGGTGGTGCACCTACATTTTCTCTTCCATTTCACATTGGCACAACCACTGAAAAGAAGTCAAGGAAACTAACGCTCGTGGCTTGCAAGGCTCGGCCTTACCTTAAGCATGTGCTCATCCGTCTTCACCATCTCCGCATAGTAATCCGGCGGCCTCAGAATTGGCACGCCCCTTTCTGTCAGCCTCTCATAGGCATCCCTGGCGCTTTCCAGAGCCTGCGTATAGAAGGCCAGTTCTCTAGCCAGATCATTCTCAGGGTCAACAGGATCCCCGTCAGCTGGGGCGACCGTTACCGCAAGGGTTTGCAGCCAATCAACTTGATCGGACCAGCCAAAATCCTCAAGGGCTTCGTGGAGCGCATCGGTGTTGTAGATAGCGGGCCTCTTGACCTGCCCCTCCGGAGCGTGAGCCTCGGCCTCCTCGTCGCTGCTGCTAGAAAAGTCCTCTTCGTCCGCCATTGCTGAGTTAGGTACTCTGAAAAGAGACCACTCGATAGGACAATACACTAGCACTCCCCAAAAAGTGTGCGCGCCAAGTAGCTCTCCTCTCGAGTCCGAGTCTCTGCAGGTGTGATATTAAGGCCCAGGCCCAGGTTCACAGCCCGGGGGACGGATAGCCTATAGGGTCGCCTGGTTTGTGGTTAGAGTAGGTAGGTAGTACCGTTAGTACGGGTGCTGAGCGCGTCATCTTTGGGTTAGGGGTCTTTTAATTTACCTACCGGTAGTTGAGTTGCCCCGGACCAGCAGGACTCGGAGCTTCAAGTTCTGAATCTTGGGAGACAAGCAGTGATCGTGGCGAAAATGACTCATGCACCATTGACAGGTCACAGGAGCTCCCAGACACTGGTTGGCGAAAATGACACTATTAAATGGCGAAATCCCAGCGGCAGTTGTGCCCGGTTCTGTGTCCCGGCACGATAAAAATCCTGTACCGACCTGGTTTTCCCCGTTGTTTCTGAAGAGCTACTTAACAAAGTACAAACAGAGGTAGAAAACGGTGTTCTGAACAGGGTTAATATTCGTTCAAACCGGTTGGAGCACCCGAGCATATAAGAACTGCCTGACGTCCTGAACGTCCTGACTCCTGACCATTTTCGCCAGGCCGGCGAAAATCCCTCGAAAATCTGGCGGAAATCTGATTGGCGAAACACGAACATTGGGGACAAGGGAGTTGCCAGGATCGGTGCACGTGCCTGAACGGTAGGTACCGTACATCACAAGTATACAAATGTCGATGGTCGGGCACGTGAAGCTGAGGTCAACTTGCATGAAGCACGATCCAGGTATTAATTGCCTGATTCAATTGATTCAATTTGACTCATTCGAGCCTCGGCGTCCACCCAGGTACCGTATCCGTACTCGTTCGACGTCGTACTGGGTTTTGTGAGTACAGTACCTACTTCGTAGGGAACCGTCCTGAGCTGTACCCAGGTACCTACCGCAACTCATACACCGACGTATCTGGGGACGCGGAACATGGGCCAGAATTTTCACCGTCCGAAAGGTCTTGGACGAGGCCGGGGCGGTACCAAACCGCGCACGGTACTCGATCGATACGCCGGCCCCCCGTATGCATTTCAAAATTCAAATCGCAGAAGGCCATTTTGGCAGCTCTTTACCACTTTTTCCACGCGAAAAGCCACCAACCTGGACATTGGGCTGGACTCAATGTCCTCTGTCACGATCTCAACGGCGAATGTCGAAGTCCAGAGGGCCTTGAAACACGTCTTTGACAACTCGTTTTAGGCAGCATTTGACGTTTTCAGTCATTCAGAGCCATTTTTGCACCCCTTGACCACTTTTACCCCAACGAATCTCAGTAACCTAAAGTAGGGATTTGCTATATTCAGGTGAGGTCTTGACATATTGGCGTTGAGATCTGGTAAAACGCTCTTGGACTATTCTTTTAAGGCCACCATTTTCCAGCATTTGCAGCTTGTGGTCAATATTTGAATTTTGAAATCGCATCCGGCCAAGTGTTCGCTTACTGCAGTCGGCAGTGTGCACTGTGCACTGGGTTCACTGGCCGAGTAAAGGTCTTCAGATGAAGCCTTCGCGGTACGGTACCGAGGCTTTCCACCGGGGTGTCCGTGACCGTCCGAAGTCAAAGTTCCAGTCTGGGGCTCGGTGAAAAAGTTTAGCCCATTTTCCGCGTCCCCAAGGTATCTACCTAGTAGGTACCTACCGTAATTTGGACCTACCGGTAACCGTATGTACCTACTTACGTACCGATAAGTATAGGTTATCCAACGAGTGCGAGAGAATATCGAAGCTCCGCGTCGAACGAGAGCGGATATTCCACGAGGGCCTCCGAATCCGCTCTCGTTCGACGCGAAATCTTCGATATGCTCGAGCACGAGTGAGGGTAACCAACTTATCGAACAACCGGACTCTGATGAATCGTCGAACCTGGTAAGGGTCTCGCGTTTATTCAACGGCTGAGCGTTAAATAGACGTATATGATATACCTACATTATACATTCACCGCTGGGGTCGCCAACGGAATTCGACGCCGAAACTTTACTAATACTCAACGCCGAAATGGCTGAACGCAAAAACCGGTCGAGGGATAATGTACCATAGTAGGTAACCCTCGCTTCGCGAATCGAAGCGATTCTTGCGCCAAAATTCGGGAAGGCTGCGCAGCTGGTTCCACCATGAGGACTCCGAGTCGAGCTCGGACAATTTAGGAATAATAAGCGGCAGGTATAATAAGCTCGCCAGAAGGGGACGGGTGGGGTTAGTTTGGGGGTTAGGGTGAATACGGGTGCGGAGCGGGTAGATTGTTGGGTTAGGTTTTTAGTGTTAGTTGGAGCTTATTATACCTGGCTCTTATAATATACCTAAATTAGTCCGTCATGAGGAGTCGGGAGTCGGGAGTCGGGAGTCGGGACTTGCCGGTCGACCGTCGAGGGACCGTTACGGCGTGACCGTCACTTGAAGGTACCGTCGTGACCGCCACCTGGAGGACCGTGGCGCGCGCCGCACGGTCCGCAGCCTGACTCAGAAACAGCCTGTGACGTACCCATGGGCACATGCACGGTGTTGCAGCCTTGCAGGGCCATATCATGATCATCACACCGTGAGCAGGAGTTTTCCCAGGATGCTCATTGCTGACAAGGTACGGTACCTAGGTACCGTACGTACCGTAGTCCCTCCAGGTGACGCTGGCTCCCACTTGGAACTTTTGGAAATTGGAATCAACATGAAGGCTGGCGTGCCAACGGGCCAACGGCGCAGGCGGTATTACTATTTAATCTCGAGTCCTCTGCATCTGTAGCATGATCTGTAGCTCCTCCTCTTTGTAGAGCCTCCTCTCCTGCAAGAGCGCCCTGGCAACCCTGCAAGGACCGGAGTCTACCGACGGACCGTACTCAGGTCCCTGAGGTGTACCTAGGTTAGGGGAAGGTCATTTTGAAGTGGTACCCCCCCTGATTTTTTATGAGGGGGGGGGACCTAGGGCACTGAGCGCGGCTCGGGGTTCCTATGGGGGGGGACAC